GAGACTCTGGGGTTTTTGGTCATCTTCTTTCCTTCTCTCAGCTCTGGCTGGTGGCTGGGAGGCACCGGAAGTCACCTCAGCCTCCTGGTCTGTGAAATGGAGGTCCAGGTGGGTCCTCCCTCAAACACCACACCTTCCTCTGCTTCCAGCAGATACCTACTCCTGGTGGGGTTCAGTTCTTGATTTCCGGATCCTCTGGGTTAAACAGGTGCCCCAGGGCACTTTAAGCTTTTACCACTTGGGACCTCAACGCAGATCACAAAACAGGGACCGAGGCTCAGGATGGGGGGCAGCAGTGGGGAAGGGGCGATCGGAAGGAGGCCCTCAGAGGAAATGTGCTGATATCCCCTCCCAAGCTAGACCCTACTCCCCCACCCCCTGCACTCTCCGCTGCTTCCCAGGGGGTGCACAGACGCTTCTCAGGCCCGGTAAGTGCAGGCCTGAGCCCCTGAGGTAATCTGTGTTGACTTGTGGGCCAGAGTCTCGGCTAAGGAGTGGATGTGAGTGGGACTCCCAGCTGAGGGCTAGCCAGAACCACCTGGAAGCATTTGTCCCTGAAAGCAAGGCAGAGCCCAGGTCAGGAGGTAGAGCTGGAGCTCTGGGCTGGGACCCTAAATTCACCACTGGGTGGACCCCACCCTGGAAAAGCCTCCAACCCTGAACTCAGCAGCCCCTGTCTCAGAGCCTGGAGGGCTGAGGGCCCCTCTCAAGGGGTTCCCCAGCCCCCCTGCATCGCCACGTGTGAGGCAGAAAGCCGGGTCTCTCTCAGACCCTGGGGCCTTGCTCAGGCAGCCGCTTGCAGGCCCAGTAGACCCATGTTCTAGGCCCAGCTCCACCTCCACCTCCCACAACCTTGGGTGAGGCACTTCCTCTCTCTGGTCTCCGCTTCCTTGTCATTAAATTAGGGGACTGGATTGGGTCAGTGACGGCCACATTTTTGGCCGATCCTCAATATATCAAACACATGAATGTGTGACTGCTCTGCTGCCACGGTGGGCAGGACTGGGGTACCTGCTCGGCTGCCCCCACCCCCACTGTGGACAGGCAGGACTGGGGTACCTGCTCGGCCGCCCCCACCCCCACTGTGGACAGGCAGGTCTGGGGTACCTGCTCGGCCGCCCCCACCCCCACTGTGGACAGGCAGGTCTGGGGTACCTGCTTGCCCCCCCCATTCTCTCCCCGGTAGTGGATGGGTTGAGTGGGCTCTGAGAACACACATCCTAAGGTGACACCCCCCCAGCACAGTTTAGCATCTGTCCCCTGAAGCACAGGCCCCTTGGCAGTCACAGCTTCACCCGATTCATCCTCATCCTTGTCCCTGCTTTCTCTCCCACCTCACCTCCAACCCATCAGCAAACCTCACACTGCCACCATCCAGCCACCACCCCTCTCTCCTGGCCACCGCAGGGGCCTCTCTGCAGATCTCCCTGCTTCTGCTTCTGCTCCCCCTGCAGCCCGTGTCCTCGATACAAAGGCCAGACTGATCCTGTGCAAAGCCACGTGGGATCAGGTCCCTCTGCTCAAACCCCTGCGGCCCCGTCCCACTCACAGTGCACTTGACTGCAAGGGCCCACCTGATCCACCGCCTTCTGCCCTGTCTCCTCACTCCACTCGAGCCACGCTGGCCTGGCGTTCCCAACACACTAAGCACTTGGCCCCGGGCATTTGCGTTAACTCTCCACTTCCTTCAGGCCTCTGCCACATGTCACCTCCTCAGAGCGGGGCCTTTCCTGACCAGCTGCTCTGGAACAGCCCCTCTGGGTTCCCCACGCCCCTCACCCTTACTCTCTGTCCCTTCCTCGGGGAGTGTCAGCTGGGCCCTGACCTAGAGTGGTGTCACATTGTTGCATAAACCTTGAATGAATGGCACAGCCCTGAACCTGAACGGGTGCAAGAAAGCTTTCGCACCTGGGGCACCCGGCAGCCTGTCTCACCCCAGCCGAATTTTTCAACAGAAGTAGACAGAGCTTGTGTTACGGATTGAATTGTGTCCCCCAAAATATGTGTTGGAGTCCTGACCTCTATACCGGTGGAGGTAACCCCACTTGGGAATAGAGTTTTCTTTGCTGTGTTAATGAGGCAGCCGTATCAGCGCTGGGTGTGTCTTCAACCTAATCAGAGTTGAGACAGGAAAAGAGCAGATTAGGCATGAATGAGGGAAAGACAGATGCCATGTGGAGATCTCCGAGGAGCGCCCAGGCTAGAGAAGCTGACACAAGGGTTTTCTTCCAGAGCAAACAGAGAGAGCATTTCTCTAGAGCCGGTGCCCTGAATCCAGACTTCTAGCCTCTTCACTGTGAGAAAATAAATGTCTGTTGGTTAAAGCCACCCACTTGTGGGATTTCTGTTACAGCAGCACTAGATGACTAAGACAGTTTGCTTGCCAAGGTCTCCAGACTCCGGGCCCAGGCCCAAGTGATACACCATCCTAGCTCCTGGGAGGTGGGAAGAGGTATTCCCCCAGGTGTCTGAACGTCCCCTGCCAGAGAGGAGGAGGGGGCTGTGGGAACAGCTAGATGGAAAGATGAACTTGGCCTAGGACTCAAGACCCGGCCCTAACTAGCCAGTAGGGTCTGAGGGTGGGGGTTATCAATACTTTTTCCTGATAATCTTTGGACACTGTAACGTAGGCAGCGTGCAGCCCAGGGAACAGCGGAAGCTGAGGGTGGGTGCGGTATACCTGAGAACTGCCTTCTAACACTTGAGAATCAAATGCTCTCTCTCTCCTGAGGGGAGGACAGGGTTCCAAAAAGTAGAAGTTAGAGGGAGGCAGACTGTAACTCAAGTTAAGGAAGTCCTTCCTTAGGTATCTGCCTGTCAGAGGGCTGCCACCAGTGGTAGTAAGCTCCCCATCACTGGAGGTGTGCAAGCAACTTGCAGGAATGTGGGAAAGGGGATTTCTATAGTGGGTACAAGGTTAAATGAAATGCCATCTAGGAACCCTTCCAGTCCAAAAGGTTCTCTAAAATAAAGCAACAAGTTTAGCAACAAACCAGTATTCCATGTAACACAATGTGTCAGGCACTGTTCTAAGTGCTTTGAAAATATTAATTCATCCAATTCTCAAAACAAAAATCTTATGCAGTAAAACCCATTGCCATGGAGTTGATGCTGACTCATAGCGACCCTATAGGGCAGAGTAGAACTTCCTCATAGGGTTTCCAAGGCTGTAAATCTTTATGGAAGGAGACTACCACACCTTTCTCCTGTGGAGTGGCTGGTGGGTTCAAACCACTGACCTTTGGAGCCCTGGCGGCATAGTGGTTAAGAGCTCGGCTGCTAACCAAAAGACTGTCAGTTGGAATCCACCAGCTGCTCCTTGGAAACCCTACGGGGCAGTTCTACTCTGTCCTGTAGGGTCACTATGAGTCGGAATCAACTCAATGGCAACAGGTTCGGTTTGGGGTTTTATTGAGGGTTTACTATGTACCCTACAGGTCAATGTGCCAAATGCTTTCTATGCATTATCTCATTTAATCTTCAAAACAACTGTAAGAAGTAGGTACTATTACTTATCCTCATTTTATAGATAAGTAAAGGAGCCCTGGTGGCACAGTGGTTAGGAGCTCAGCTGCTAACTGAAAGGTCAGCAGTTGGAACCCACCAGCTCAAGGGGGCCCCTTCCCCAAGGAGGTGGGGGGTGCTCCCCACTAGTGGGCCAAGGAATTCCCATTTCCTTCCCCGGGACGGCACTGGCCTTTCCAGAGGTCACTTCCCAGGGAAAGCCATTCAGCCAGAATTTCCGGGCTGGTGAGCGGTGGGTGAGGAGTGAAAAAGTGTAAGGAGGCATTCGGGTGTATAAGTGTCCCTCCCACCCGAGTGGAAGCCTGTCATCTCCAGCTGCCCGCCAAGTGGGCACTGCAGGGCAGCCTGCGGATAATGGAACGAGATGGCCCCACCCTCAGGTTTTACAAAGAGGAGGACAGAGGCCTTGGAGATGAGGTCACTGGGCTAGGCCAGACTAGCGGCGAAGTGTCCATCACACAAGTAGGCCCGGGACTTTTAAACCAAAAGCCGGCAATGGCACCCCCCCAGACACGCCCATCAACCTTGACACCCAATAAGGTTCCTAGAGGCCTTCTCAGGAATTCACCTCCCACCTGGAGTGTCCCCAACACCTGCAGCTTCCCGCCTAGGAGCTACCCGGGACATCCTCTGGGCTGGGCGGGGCGTGGGGACTTCCTCCGCGGAGAGCAGCGCTGAGCAGTGTCCTGAAGCCCGAGGTCGCGAAGTGGGGGTGGAGGGGCATGAAACTAGACACCAGGGACCCCTCTCAGAATCCAGTTCCCAAACCGGCTCGGTTTCACGCACTCCAAGCTGGGCTTTCGCCCCAGGGGAACCCACAGGCCGCGCGCAGCCCGTGCGCTCTGGACCCTCCCCAAGCCTCAGGCTTGGCAAGGGCCGGTCCGAAGGTCACAGTAACATGCCGGGCCGGGGGTGGGGTGGGGATCCCGGTGTGCCCTCGGTCTAAGCAGACCAGTCAGCTGCAGGTCGCGGGCGACCGAGTTCTGGAGATCCTGGCCCCCCACCCAACGCCCGGCCGGGTCCCAGCGCCCGAGGACGCGCGGAGGGTGCAGGCGGAGCCACAGACGCGGGAGGCTGGCGGGGCCGGGATGGGATGTATTTTTTGCATCCAATGTTAAGGTCAGGCAGTACGCGGGAGAGGGGGCCGCGTCCACACAGCCCCGGGGCCCCAGCTCTGACAGGTAGAGACGGCTCCTCGGCACCCTCCCGCGCCCTGCCAAACGTGCCCGCTGCTTTCCCGGTGAGCGGCGTCTGGGCGGAAAAGTTTAGCCAAGTCGCCGAGTCCTGCAGAGTCCCCAGGGCCGACCCCTTCCCAGCAGACCCGCGGGCCCGGCCTTGGCTGCTACCGGGGTTCTGTCTCAGTAAGTCATTCCCGAGGTCCCGCCGCCGGGGTTCCTCTCCGGAGCTTCGGGGACTCCTGGGGTCGGGGAAGGCGATTTAGGGGGCGCAGAGAGGGGGCGCCCGCCTGGACTTACCCCGCGGGGTCCCCGCGCGCGGGCGCCCCGGCCCGTCGGATCATGCCGCAAGCAGCTGCGAGGCAGAAGACGGAAAGTCTCAGGCGTAGGGACTGGCGGGCCGCGGTGGCCCCGGCGCCCACATGCCCTTGGCGCTGGCCCGTGGGAAGGGCCCGGGCCGGCGCCGCCGCCAGCCCCGCGCCAAGTGGAGCAGCCGCCGCGGCCGCGCTCCGGGCGGTTCGCTCGCTTCCACTTCCTGTATCGGAGCGAGCAGGGCTTTCAGGAAGAGGCTGGCCTTGGTGGTCAAGGGGTTTGTGTCAGGAGCCATCCGGCGGCCGGCGGCCCGGAGCCCCCTGCGCAGACGGAAGCCAGCAGCCGCGCCCCCGGGGCCGGGCGTCACGGCGGGCGGTGCCAGGCCAAGGCGCCCGACGCCGGGGCTGCCTCCTCGTGCTGGAGCAGCGGCTCGGGAGGCGCGCGGGGCTCCCGGAAACCCCGGAGAGAAACTCAGAGAAAAGTCTCCAGCTTGGCGAGGGGTCGCGTGGAAAGGCAGGCGTTCCCCGGCGGGCAGGTGGGGAAGCCTACAGCGCCCTGACCGGCCCTCGCTGGACAGAGAGCTCCCGCTTTGCCTCTCACCCGTATGGGCCTCAAAATCGCCCAAGAGTAGCCGCAGACCAGAATCAGAGCACCTCCTCCACATCCCTGACAGGTGACTACTTTGCCTCCGCTTAGATGCCTCCACTGACGACGAGCTCACCACCTCCCAAGGCAGTCAGCTCATGTAATTCACCTGTGCTGGGTACCACACCTAGAGAAAGCCAGCCAGCTCACACAAACACAACATCCACAGCAATCCAGGTGGGGCCAGGTGGCCTCTCCTCAGAGTGACGAGGGACTCAAAAACTGATCCAGGGCTGCCCTCAGAGTGTTTCATGGAGTGACTGGCAGGACTGAACCCTAGGGGGTCACCTCTGTCTAGTACAGGGTTTCTCAACCTAGGCACTATTAATATTTGGGGCTAATCATTTTTTGTTGTGCGGGGTGTCCTGTGCATTGCAGGATGTTTAGCAGCATCCCTGGTCTCAACCCACTAGATGCCAGCAGCATTACCATCTCCCTTTGTATCCCAAATATCTCCAGACACTGCCAGATTTTCCTACGGAGGGCAAAACTGCCCTGGATGGGACCCGGTGGTCTAATGCTGATCTCACAGCTGCATAGAGACTGACGAGCATCCAGAACACCCATTCCTAATTCGCAGGAGGCATAATGTGACTCATGTTGGCTGTGAGGGGTGGACAGTCTCAGGGAGGGGGTGGTCATGAGCTGAGGCAACTCAAAAGGCTCTGAAAGCAGCCTCCAACTTGTATTATCGGGGCTACTTCTTGTCTGGTGTCACTGTGTCCCGCTCCTCCTCAGCCAACCCTACCCAGCGATGGGGCAGGAACTGGAGGCGTCCAAGATCTTTCTCAGGGAATCCCCACCCTTTCCCAGACAACAAGCTACACTTGTCTATCTAACTCCAAAGTCAGTTTCCCAAAGTCCTGTCTGCTCCCAACAGAAGTGCCCTATCAACCTGCACTTGTTACATATTTCTAGATACTACTAAGGTTCTCACACTTTAATTATCGTTAGCATGAGTTCATGCTCCTTGGGAACAGAGAATATGCCTTCCTTTTTATTTATTTATCTTCCCCCGCTCCCCATAATATACAGTGGATGCTTCTGCAAACAGCAGGCATTTAATAAGCTCTTGTTGGCCAAATAAAAACCACTTGTTACCAAGGAGAAAAGCATCTTCATTTCTGAGTTCTGTGCCATTTTAAGGATTTTCCCTGGGTTGTGCTGTCAGAAGATGAGCTAAAATTAGGGTGCAGAATGTCCACGCTTCATACACGCTACAAAGTTACTGACACCCATGAGGCACTGGGAAGTCCTGGAATCCTGTCCTTGAGAGCTTGCCTGCTAGTGGGTGTAAGTGGCAAGAAAACCCTGACTGTGAGTGGCTTGAGTACATAGGAGATAGATTATTTCACGTCACTGGAAGCCCAGAGATAGGGCAGTGTGTTAGTTATCTATTGCTGCATAACAGATTACTCCATCACTTAGTGGCTTAGAACAACACACACTGATTATCTGAAGGTGTCTGTGGGCTGGGAGTCTGCGCATGGCACAGCTGGGTGCCTCTGCTTCAGGGCCTCTCATAAAGCTGCAATCAAGTTATTTGCCAGGGCTGGGATCTCATCTGAAAGCTTGACTGGGGAAAGATCAGCTTCCAAACTCACATGCTGTTGACAGGATTCAGTTCCTTGAAGGCTGTTGGGCTGAACAGCCAGTTTCTTGCTATCTGGAGGCCATCCTCAATACCTTGCCATTTGTACATCTCCAACATGGCTTCTTGGTTCATCTAAGTGTGCGAGGTGAGAAGGCAATACAGGTAGAGTCTGCTGGCAAGATGGAAGTCATGATCTTAAACATAACCTAATCATGGAAGTGACACCCTGTCACCCTTGCCCTATTCTACTGGTTAGCAAGTCACAGGTCCCACCCATGCTCAAGGGGAGGGAATTAAGCAAAGGCGTGAAGACCAGGAGGCAGGAGTCATTGGGACCATCTTAGAAGCTGTATGTACAGGCAGGCTCCAGGTGCAAAACTATCAGGGACTCAACACTGCCATCAGTCACTTGGGTTTGGTCCCTGTCTCTGCTCTGACCTCCTCAGTGTTGACTTCAATCTAAATGTGGTTCCCCAGGGTTACAAGATAGTTGCCAATGACAACCGGGGGCATGCTTTCTGGGCCCAGCCAGCAGGACACGGAAAAGCCTCTCTCCTAAGCATAGAATAGAATTCCATATGGCCTGACTGGCCCACTGAGGTCACATGCCTGCCCCTGTCACCAGGAGAACCACATACACTGATTGGCTTTGGTTAATTAAGATCCATGCTTTGTGCTGGGGTTGGGGGTGACCTTTCCCTGGATCATATTGGGGAGGGGTTGAAACCTGATCAGAACCTGTTGGTGTTACGAATTGAACTATGTCCCCCCAAAAAAGACGCACTGAAGTCCTAACCCTTGCACCTGTGAGTGTGACCTTGTTTGGAAATAGAATATTTGAAGATGTTATCAGTTAACATCAGGTCAGACCAGAGTAAAACAAAAAAGAAACCAAACCCTTTGCCGTCGAGTTGATTCCGACTTATAATGACCGTATAGGACAGAGTAGAACTGCCCCATAGGGTTGCCAAGGAGCACCTGGTATGTATGTATAGTTGTTGTTAGGTGTTGTCAAGTTGATTTCCACTCACAGCGACTCCACGTGACAGAACAGAACTGCCCCATAGGGTTTCCTAGGCTGTAATCTTTATGGAAAGGAACGCTAGTGGTGCAGTGGTTAAGCACTTGGCTGCTAACTAAAACACTGGCAGTTGAAACCCACCAACGGCTCCTCAGGAGAAAGAGGTGGTGTGGTCTGCTTCTGTAAAGGTTGCTGTTGTTGTGGTTAGGTGCTGTCGAGTTGGCTCCAACTCATACTGACCCTATGTACAACAGACAGAAATACTGCCCAGTCCTGTGCCATCACAATTGTTGCTATGTTTGAGAACATTGTTGCAGCCACTGTGTCAATCCATCTGGTTGAGAGTCTTCCTCTTTTTCGCTGACCTTCTACTTTACGTTCTCCAGGGACTGGTCCCTCCTAATAACATGTTCAAAGTACACAAGACGAAGTCTTGCCATCCTCCTTTCTAAGGAGCGTTCTGGCTCTACTTCCTCCAAGACAGGTCTGTCGTTCTTCTGGCAGTCCATTCAGTATTCTTTGCCAACACCATAATTCAAGTGCATCAGTGATTCATTGTCCAGTTTTCACATGCATATGAGGCGACTGAAAATACCATGGCTTGGGTTACGCTCGCCTGAGTCCTCAGAGTGACATCCTTGATTTTTAACACTTTAAAGAGGTCTTTTCCAGCAGCTTTGTCCAATGCAAGACGTCGTTTGATTTCTTGATGGTTGCTTCCATGAGCATTGATTGTGTATCCAAGTAAGATACAACCCTTGACAACTTCAATCTTCTCTCTGTTTAGCATGATGTTGTTTATTGGTCCAGTTGTGAGGATTTTTGTTTTCTTTATGGTAAGGTGCAATCATACTGAAGGCTGTGGTCTTTGATCTTCATCAGTTAATGTTTCACTTCCAGCAAGCAAGGTTGTGTCATCTACAGATGGCAGATGATTAACGAGTTGTCCTCCAATCCTCATGCCCTCTTCTTCGTATAGTCCATCTTCTTGGATTATTTTCTCAGAATACAGGTTGAATAAGTATGGTGAACGGATACAACCCCGATGCACACCTTTCCTGACTTTAAACCATGCAGTATCCCCTTGTTCTGTTCTGCCTCTTCATCTATGTACAGGTTCCTCATGAGCACAGTTAAGTGTTCTGGAATTCCCATTCTTCTCAATGTTACTCATAACTTGTTATGATCCACTCAGTTGAATGCCTTTGCATAGTCAAGAAAACACAGGTAAACATCTTTCCGGTATTCTCTGCTTTCAGCCAAGATCCCTCTAACATTGGCAATGATATCCCTTGTTCCATATCCTCTTCTGAATCCAGTCTAAATCTCTGTCAGTTCCCTGTCTATGTACTGCTGCAACTGTTTCTGAATTATCTTCAGCAAAATTTTACTTGTGTGTGATATTAATGATATTATTCTATAATTTCCACATTCTGTTAGATCACCTTTCTTTGGAATAGGCAGAAATATGTATCTCTTCCAGTCGGTTGGCCAGGTAGCTGTTTTCTGAATTTCTTGGCACAGACGAACCAGTGAGTGCTTCCAGCGTTGCATCCGTTTGTTGAAACATCTCAATTGGTGTTCTGTTGATTTCTGAAGCCTTGTTTTTTGCCAATGCCTTCAGTGCAGCTTGGACTTCTTCCTTCAGTACCATCCTTCTTGATCGTATGCTATCTCTTGAAATGGCTGAATGTTGACCAGTTCCTTTGGTACAGTGACTCCGTGTATTCCTTCCATCTTCTTTTGATGCTTCCTGTGTCGTTCAGTTTTTTGCCCATAGAATCCTTCAGTATTGGAACTTGAGGCTTGAATTTTTTCTTCAGTTCTTTTGCCTTAAGAAACGCCGAGAGTATTCTTCTCTTTTGGTTTTCTAACTCCAGTCTTTGCACATTTCATTGTAATACTTTACTTTGTCTTCTCCAGCAGCCCTTTGAAATCTTCTGTTCAGCTTTTACTTCATCATTTCTTTGGAGGTAAAAAATGATGATCTGTAAAGGTT